CGATGGGCTGAATTGCACAGAACGCATGATCGCACCGGCTAGTCTGGTGCGCGTTGCTATTTATTTGATTTCAGAACGAAGTACTTTTATCACGGGCGCCTGGACTGGAACGACAAGACACAAGCTGGACAATACGTCCGAGATAACTGCAGACCGCTCTCGGTAACATGTTTTCTTTTTCAGTTTGTTTCTGATGTGCAGAGCTTTACTGGGCCGAGCGTTCTGTTTGCAATTGAACAGCTATAAAAATTTTCGTTCTTTTTCATAGAGTTGCAGATCAGTAGGCCGTTTTCATGCAAAAATTGCGAAAAAGCTTGGAACTTACTCGTAATGTGACTCCTCTGCCTTCCTCTCGTTTATGGGAATAATTAAATTTAAATGTTTAAATGTCGCCACTCATTTTTAATTGAATATTTTATCACTGAATGTGACATTTATGATTTCTTCTGCATTTCGTGACAGTTTAACAGGCATTTTCGTGCGCAATCCCTTCTTTCCCACTGTTTTTTGGACATAGTTTTGCGTCTATTTTCTTGTTTTTTCCTATACGACTTCGAGCACGCGAAAGACATGAGTGCATTGCTTCTACAGTATATAAACATTTGGACTTTGAACTGTTCTGAATTTCGCGTTAATCTGAGTAATTGGAAAATTATTCCGAGAAATTTTTTGTCCGCCTGGCAAACTATAACATTCAACAGACTGGTTCGGCTTTCCCGTAGTAGTACAAACTGACTTTCCCGTAGTACAAATAAAAGTACAAAATCAACTGTAGATCAACAGACTTAAGTACGAAATCAACAGTAGTATATATATATATATATATATAAAAACAAAAAAGTTTACTTTTTCTGAGTCCGTTGGATTGCTTTTTCGAAGATTCATTTTTCTAAAATGATTAAGACTGATTCGGCTAAAGTTTGTTGCCTCCCACAAATTTTACCCCCACTGATCTATACAATTTGTTCATGCATATGTAGTTTTGACATTTGAGATCGAAAAAGAACACGCCTTGGTGGATACACATCTGGGACTTAATTCTTCTTTAGTTTTTTAAAACTGTGCTAGTCATATGTATTTTTTTTTCCATGCGATATTTAAGGTTTTTTTTTAGCCCAAGCAAATTTTGCTCTGATTGAGTACCATTTGATGCGTGCGGGTCATTGAATAATCGTAATTTTTTCAGCGCTACATGAAATCGAATGATCCGGAAGACATTGAATTATTTGAAATTATCTCCGAAATGCTTACGTATGAACCCTCACAGCGCATAAAACTTGGTGCTGCATTGGAGCACAAATATTTCAAACGTCTGGATCCACAACTCAGGTAATATTTTTCAGTGCCAAGGATATCTCATATCCGCTTGAGCAACGAGAACTGACATCCAAAGGTAATGTGTAATGTTACTGGGATATAATTGCATGCCGGACAAAGCTGTATCAATCTTCTTAGCACTGAGCTTTATGTTTCCAATCAGTAGACACTATCCGACCGATGACTGTTTTTGGCTCCCTTCGATGGTCCCTGTTTGGAGTTCTTCGCAGTAGCACTACTCTCTAACATTTGACGTTCACCGGTTGTTAGCTAAGCTAAGTAAGCATGTTCTGTCAGCTGGATGTTACTTTCCGACGACGTAAGTGAGTCCGATTGCTTTTCTAGTACGAAAAGGCATCTCACACATCCTTCTCTCCATTTCTGCTCCTGTCAGAACGGGCAGTCGCTCTTCTGCTTTCGTCAGTGACTACATTTTGCATCCGTATGTCATTGCGTTCAAATGATAGCATTGCGGAGGTAGGCTTGGTTTTTCCAGTTTGAGACTTTGAGTAAATGCCAGTCTTTTGACGAGCATTTTCCGACTGATGGTCATGGTCTTTATTTTAGCGGCGCCTTTTTTTAGTTGAGATTGCAAAATACCCAGGTAGATGCAGGCCATTGAGGAGTTTGCGCGATGTGGAATTGCTCTGCTCCCTCTCTTTCTCGATCTATGGAGTAGAGCCTACGTTTGCTTCCCATCAATTCCCTTATAGCTCTTAGTAGTCTACAGGGCTTGTCATTGTCGAATGCTTTTTCGTAATCGACGAATAATAGGAAGCAGAAAGGGGTTGGTACTCCCTTGCGTTTTCCTACAGCTTTTGTTTCGAACGAAAATGTAGTTATTTTGGAATTTAGCTTGCTGTCTCGGCTCTTGTTTGTTGGCGACTGTTGTCAGCAGTTACTTAAAATCCTCGTGAGGGGCTTGTAAAAATGAGAGGGTGCTTAGAGCGGCTAATAAATTTTCATATTTTCTTTTTCGCTCTTCCCTGAACAGCAAAACATCTTCAATTCCGAATACTGTGCAATAGTTGGTGCCAAAAGATTCGAATAGCGAAGGCTTTCTAGATTTGTAGCTCAGAATCTGATGAATACGATGTTAATGCCATTCTTACCGTGAGCCGTTCCCCCTTCAATTTGTTAAGCTACCGCTTTTAAGTATTGGTTAATTGATACGACGGCCCATATCAGCTATTTATAACGTTATGTATGGACAAGATAAATAATGTTTTTTTGCTTTTGAATGATTGAACTGAATGTGAAAAGAACGTTTAGGTTGCATGAGATCGCCGGTTCATCAAACGGGTCATCAGAAGCATCATCCATAACAGCAGCAGCAATGGTACTTGGTGCGGGTGAAGGAGACGGTGAACAACGATAGTGGTACTCTAGCAGTAGCAGCGTCTCTTGTTGTTGTTGTTGTTTTGGAGGCAACAGATGTTTTGAAACACTTTTAGAAGCATGTCCTTTGTTTTGTCTCGAAAAAAACACTTTTATAAATGGAACTGGTGAAAAGAGGGGTTCGGGATAATACAAGAGCGCGTCAGTCAGTGATTGTTCACTTTTTCATCTCATTTTGTACACTATTTATTTCAGCTTGTTCTTGAATGTCTTTGTGTTTTGTTATTTTGAACAGGTGAAAAATAATTTCTGTCTTATCCTACAATATGTAGCAGGTTTGGTGTAAGTACAGTTCGTACGCGAGTTTTTCTGCTGCTTACATTGATATTGTTTGGCAGCAGGAGGAGGGTTTGGAGACTGAGGAGGGGATTGAGAGAAGAGTCTCTTAACCAGTTTTAGTCTCTCAGGATTCGTCAAATCAGAAGCCAACACCCTACCTTTTGTTTTTTATGAAAAGCAAAAATAGCCTGGATGATAACGCCTGCTCGTATCAACTACCGGCTGATAAGACTGTGATGGTTCTCCCTTCCGAGGACTGCTTATATCCGGTTTTGATTTTCTGGCATATACCGGTACTAGTTAACCATCGCACTGAGTGATTACGGTGTACGGTTTTCCAGTAGACGGGCCTTCAGGTCGAGAGGGCTACTTTTCATTACCTTATGTCCGCCAGCGTTGAAAATCGTGAGCGAGCGAAGTAGTGGAATGGCAGATATCATTGGATTTTCTTGGGTTGTGGCTTGAACTGCGGTTCATAACTTATTTTTTATTCGCATGCTTAGATGCAAACGTGACAAAAACAGCTTGGTTTTTAACTCTCTTAGGCCTGATTTCATTAAAAAATTCGGGATTTTGCCCTGGTGCCCTCTCGCGCGCTTCCTTTCCCTGTGGTTGAATCTGTGAGAATTGCTCAGGCATTTAGATACTTTCGTTTGTTCAGTACTGTTTTATCGTTGCAAAAATTCGCTTTATTCTGTGACTTTTTTTTTTTTTTTGAATATAACACGGTAAGCTGTTGAATGGGTGTTGCAGCTTTTTTTAGTCGATTTTCTGCTCTGTTAATATGCCAATGCCGTATCTGTTAATTAGACGGTGGCTTACAGGACTTATGTTTTCCTGACGATATTGGTGCTTCAATTTTTTTTTTTCGCGGAACAAATTGCTCGCAGAATCGCTCTTTTTGGGCTCCTCTCCAGCTCTACCGAAATTTCCAACACTTGTCCGGTATTTTTTCAGAAATAGTACAGAATTCTGTGTAGGAATCTTCCGGTATTTGCAGTCACTTGTTGACGCAACTGAACATCACTTGTCCCGGTTTCTCTGAATGCCATGCACACCCATTTGGCGATGAGTTTTACTTCATACTTGTTTGTAGGCGTTTGCAATTTGATGCAAACGCTTTCTGAGGCCAGCTCGTTTCGCATCCGTACGTTGTCATCGTCGCTGTCAACACGGTGATACTCATCGGTGCTGTGTTTTAAGTTTCTGCGGTTTTCGATCGTTTTTCGTTTCCAGGCACTTCCCGATCATTTTAATACTATTTTTAGTGCATTCATACATTTCGTATAGAATAGTGCCGCAATCTGTACTTTAATCTATTTGTTTTATTTTGTTGAGTAATTCCTGAAATTTTAAGTGATTTTGCTAGAGAATATTAAACAACGGAAATTTTTTGCTGTGATTACCCGCGCAGTATGAAGTACTGATTGTCTGAATGCAGTTGTTTCTCGTATTCGAGGTATTTTCGTTGAATAACCGTTACGTCTAAACGGGTACAGCATTATGGAGATTCAGCAGAGCGGTTGAGCAGAGTGGTCAGCCAGACAACGCTACTGGTCACTTAGTGTACGCTGTGGACTCCGAGATATTTGCGTTCTGTCTGTCGTTAGGGATTGATTTTGAGAAGTTGCCAGCTGCACCAACGACAAGAATTGTGACGGTGAAACAATAGATAATCAAAATATCAACTT